GCGCGCTTGGCAGACACCAAGACGCTAGGCCCGGTTAGAAACGGTGGCGTTAAAAATCACGTGAGAGAGCTCGGGAACAAAACAGAAAAAACGAGAAAGATCCGCGGGTGTTTTATAAAAAGGGCCGCCGGCAGTATTGGACAAATTCAAGGACCTATCAAGTTTTTCAAGGACCTAAGACGTTTTTCAAGCACTTTCAAGGACCTAAATTTAGCAAAAAAAAATTCAAGGACTCTCAAGGACCGTGGGAACCCTGAAGAAGGACAAATCGTATCATCACTGGTTTCTTTATCTGAATCAACTAACAACACTGGTGAGGAAATTTTTCAACTTCTTGATGGAGAGTTTAAAAAATATCTACTGAAGTGGGAGAATTGCATAGCATTCAGTTCTGATAATGCTAACACAATGGCTGGATGTAATAAAGGTGTTTTGAGCTATATAAAACAGAAGCAACCAAATATAAAATTCATTGGATGCCCTTGTCATTTGGTTCATCTAGCAGCTCAAAAAGCTACAGCATCATTGCCCGTTGATGTGGAGAATTTGGTGATAAAAGTTTTTTACTACCTTGAAAAGAGTAGTAAAAGAAAGCATGAATTTAAAAACTGTCAGATAGAATGTGATGTGAAACTTTACAAGATTTTAAAACATGTTTCAACTCGGTGGTTAAGTTTAGAAAATTCTCTAAAGAGACTAGTTGAGCAGTGGAACCCATTGCTAATTTTTTTTTCACAGTCCGATGTTAAAGAGAATGCTAGCTCAGAAAAAATAAAATAGTTCCTGAAATCAAACAAAACAAAGACATATTGTGTTTTTGTTACATCGATATTGCCTGTATTCACCAAGGTAAATGTTGCCCAGCAAAAAGAGCAACCTTCTATCCATACTTTGTATGATGATTTAATGAGCTTATACTATGAACTTCTTGTACGATTTGTTTCGCCTTCTACCATAAGCAAATCCAAGTCTTCTCTGTTACAAGTGAAATTTCAGAAACCTAAATATCAAAAACCTGATGAGTCTCTTATAATAAGATCAAGTGCTAGATCTATTTTGAGTGATCTAACGCCAGAAGATATAACTGAGTTCTTTTTGGCAGTGTGAAAGTTTTTTGTCATTGCATGTGAATATATTCTCAAAAAGTTTCCTTTAGAGGACGATTTTCTTAAGCATGCTTCTGTGGCAAACATTTTGAAGAGGCAGAATGCAAATTTTGCAACTCTTCAGTATTTTTATGATTTGTTTAATTGTGGCATTGACATTGATCAACTCGAGTTAGAATTTGCCTTTTATCAGGCACACAATTTTCCTTCTGAAATTTTAAATCATACCAGAGTAGATGAGGCATGGCATAAAATTAGCCAGTTAAAGGATAACAATGGAATAAAGAGATATGTGGCTTTGCCAAAAATAATGCTTTCAATTCTGTCGATTCCCCATAGTAATGCTGGATCTGAGAGAATTTTTAGCATGATTTGTAAAAATCAAACTGATAGTCGCTCGGGTCCAAAACATTAGAATCGATTCTAATCACTAAATTAAGCATGGGAGTTTGTTACAATGCACAATTTACTGAGGATGAGTTAAAAAGAGCAAAAAATGCTTGTTATTCATCACTGAAAAAGCATAGGGCGGTTTAGATGCTGTGTTTCTGCAATTAAGGGTATTTTTAATTAAAATCAGATTTGCTTATAGATTAGATTTCTTAATTAATGCTTTTACACCCTTAATTATAATAGATAATTCAAAGATTTGAAACAATTTAGCTATTGGTTAATGTCTATACAAATTCATTCCTCTTAAAGAATAAATTTTAATGTGTAAGCTTTAGATGATATAAGTTTTTAAATATTGTTTTCTAATTCTGAAAGTTTTATTAGGAAGAAACTCATTTATATAATCCATTTTTCTTTCAATAAATTGGTATTAAATTGTTTTCTTGATTTAATTGCTTTAAAATTTGGTGTAAAAAATATTTAATAGGAAACATCTTAGAATCTGACCTTCCTAAATAAAATAAGTAAATTTTTTTTTGGTAACAATTGAATGAATGTAGAGAAAAAGTTCCGGAGAGTTCACTTTTTGCATTTTACTGAGATGTTATATTATTTTTCTTTGAAATTTGTATAAATGTACAATAAAACTTTAACTTTCATTTGCAATTTAATAATTTTATATCCTTAGAAAAGTGCACCTTTCTGTATGTGAATTAAAATTATACTATCTAAATAACATGATTTTTTAAAAGTCTATGGCATCTTAATTTTTTTTAAAATTTCTCAATGTGAAATAACATTTTATGCTTGTTTCAAAATCTATTTTCTTATATATTTATCAACTGCTTTTTGAAATTATAAGTCAATATAATTAAGTATCAATATGAGCATAGCAAATATTGCGGGATGCCGTAAATGTGTGTTGCGCGAGTGCTACTGATGGCTAGGTGGGCAAAGTTGGAGGGTATGCAACTATATCATTCTTCCATGGAAGGTTTACTTCATAACAGCCATCTCTTATGCAAATAGATTGTTCAAATAAAGAAAGTGCTTTATATCTTCTTTTCCATCCAAGACCGGTGCAATTCCTAACGATTATATTTGCCAGAAAGATTTAATATTATTAAATAGCTCTTCATCTAAACATAAATTTGAACTAACAGTCATTGATCATAAATCAGAACCCATAAAGAAACCCTGAATACACCATCCTAATCTAGTCTCTACAGCAACTAATGCTTCATTTATTCGTTCGATTTTTCCATTAAACATCACTTCCTAAAGCACTGAAATTTAATTTGCGTTATACAGTTGGTGATCAGTTGGCACATCATCTGAAAGTTTAATTCCAAAGAATGCAAAGTTTTAGTTAAGTCATCGCCAGACATTTTAATTTCAGCAGCAGTAATCACGGGATACTCAATAGCTTCAACAATAACAAACTTATCAGGATTAATTAGATCAACAAGTTTCAATTTCACTTTCCTTCTATGACTATTTACATTCTTACAAAATCTAAATGTATGAATATTAAGATCAATTTCTCCTGTAACAGACAAATTTAACTTTTTTGATAACTTTTCACTTATAAAAGACGTTTGACTACCTCTGTCAAGCAAACATCTAACTAAACATTCAGCCTCGTTCACAGCAACAGCGGTAACAGTTAGTAAAATTACATTTGAATTCTGTTTCACAGAGTTTTGTACAACATAAGATTCATTATTTTTATTTACCAGCATTTCTTTATCATTATTCAAAACGAGACTTTCGTTTTCAAGCTGTTTAATACAAACAGAATAATGAAGCTAGTGTTTACAGTGAGAACAAGCAAGATTTCTTTTCATGCAATCTGAAGATATAGATAAATGTCCTTTTTGAAAGCAACTGAAACATCTACAACTTTTCATTAAAATTTGTCTTTTCTTATAAGCATTAACTTCATTACATTTCAAATTCAATGTTGATAAAGCAAAGACCTTTGACCTTTGGCACTTAACAATTCAACATTCCAAGTAGAATCCTTCGCTCTTCGTCAGTTAAAATCCAAAATTATATCTTCAGGAATCAGTTTCATCAATATTGGACAGAGTAGATTTCATAGGTTCCAGACATCACGTTTAAAGACTTTAAACTTCGTATTTCAACTTCAATGTTATCGTAATATTTCCTCAGCGCATCAACATCGCTAGAAACCTTTACTGCAGTTAAATTTAACAGTTTGTTCATGTGAGCATTAATAATTAAGTCACTTCTTCCATAGCGGACTTGTAAAATATCAATGGTTGCAAGATAATTAGAATCACATTCACGATCCATTCACAGCTCTTGTAGCAGCTCCGCCAAAATATGACTTTAAATACGCAAACTTATCGACAGTTTTCAAAGTCTTATTTTCGTGAATAGTCAATTTAAATTGTTCCCAGAAGTTATTCCATAATTTAACATCACTGTAGAATTCGATATTAATGTTCGGTAATTTTACGGGAACATTTTGAAATTCTTCAGAAATAATTTCGGTTGAAATACTTTCGTTATCGTTCTTACGTTTTTCCTTATCCAACTTAGCATTCGACGAAGATAAAATTCTTGACATTTTCGTTTTAAAAACAATAATCTTATCAGAATATTCTTCCGATTGTTCGTATTCCTTTTCAATTTCCTCAGCATCAATCAAATCTTCAATTTTGAAATCTAGTTCCTTCAATAAAGATTCCTTTTCAATAAGTTTAGCCAGTAATTCATCTAAAGTTTCAATGTTCGGAATTTCATTTCATTTTCGATTTCGCCGAACAATCTAGTCGTCGATGCTCTGACCGCACCTCTTTTCTGCTTCCGTTTTGCAAGTTCAGTAGACATTTTCGAATTAAGAACAAATTAATCAAATAAAGAAAAAAGAAATAATTTCAATATAAAGTTCAAAATCAAATTCAAATGAAACCCTTTTCAGAAAACAATATTTTCAATAATCTTCTTGGGTCTTGCGGCACCATGTAAAAAAAGTGTCAGAGAGGTTAGGATTCATATTCTTTAAAAACAGCATAACAAAAAGTAAACATTAAAATAGCCAAAACAAAAGAGTAGGCAACGCCATCTATTAATACAAAACATAAATTTTCTACATAGTTAAAACAAACAAAAAAATTTTGAAAAGAGTTTAATTATATAACTATATCAATAACTAACAAATGCCCACCTTAAATTTTTGCTTAAATATAAACATGCATTGGGAAGAGAGAAAACACCACTTTCCATGCCTAAAATTTTCTCTAAACCAAGACAGCACTAAATCAAACAAAGATCTGTGTAAAGTAGGAGTGCACAACCTGCAGCCCGCCAACTCTTGGTGTGCACTCCTGTCAGCAACCTAAACAAAATCAAAAAAAAGAAAGAAAATTGTGCATTTAAGTTTTGGACGCACATAATCTCAATCAATGTAGTCTTCTGATTGCTTTTTTTCAATTGTTAACGCTATGAATTTAAGCTTAGTTTTGAAAAAAACATATTTTTAATACAATATTATTACAATACACGAATTTTGAATTTTAGTTGTCACTTTTGATGCTCTTCATTTGTGCCAATTTAATCATAAATTCAATAACTTTTTGGTAGTTATTGTTACCCACTTTCACATAGTTTCTGAAATCGTGATTTTTCTTTTTAAATATATTTTACGTCTTGAAATTGGATTGGGGCATTTAAATTAGCTTGTTTTTGACGTGATTTATTTGCACAAACTTTATTACAAATCTAACTAACTATTGCTATGCATTTCCACAGGGTTTTCAAAATTTTGACATTTTTAGCACAATATTACTACGAATTGCTAATTTAAATAACCACTTTTTTGATGTGGTTTATTTGTGTCGATTTTTTTCACAAATCAAGTAATTTTTCAAATTGGAAATTATTGTTACACATTTTTACAAGGTTTTGAAAGTCCCAATATTTCTTATACGCTATTGCGACACTTTAATTACGAAGGTTGAATTTAAATACAGTAGGGAACCGATTATCCGGAACGGTCGGGACCATCGCTATTTCGGATAGCTGATTTTTCCGGCTTTCTGAATCGCTACAAAAAGCGGTTTTTTTATTGTTAAACCCAACTAAAAAAAATTAAAAATTTGGAATAATCTTAAAAATAAGAAAAAACGATTAAGTATTACACTAATGATTATTTCCAAAATGATGGTAAGGTAAACATCTTTAAAAAAAGAAAGAAAAATCGTAAAATCTTATGGAATTTTTTTTTTTTTTTTTAAATGGCGAGAAAATGTATCGAAATTCGTTTCG